GGTCAGTTTTCATTCCAATCCCAAAGAAAGGCAATGCCAAAGAATGCTCAAACTACTGCACAGTTGCACTCATCTCACACACTAGCAAAGTAATGCTCAAAATTCTCCAAGCCAGGCTTCAACAGTACGTGAACCATGAACTTCCAGATGTTCAAGCTGGTTTTAGAAAAGGCAGAGGCAAAGGAACCAGAGATCAAATTGCCAACATCTGCTGGATCAGAGAAAAAGCAAGAGAGTTCCAGAAAAACATCTGCTTTATTGACTATGCCAAAGCCTTTGACTGTGTGGATCACAATAAACTGTGGAAAATTCTGAAAGAGATGGAAATATCAGATCACCTGACCTGCCTTCTGAGAAATCTGTATGCAGGTCAAGAAGCGACAATTAGAACTGGACATGGAACAACTGACTGGTTCCAAATAGGAAAAGGAGTACGTCAAGGCTGTATATTGTCACCCTGCTTATTTAACTTCTATGCAGAGTACATCATGATAAATGCAGGGCTGGATGAAGCACAAGCTGGAATCAAGATATCTCCTGGCTATCTTGATATGCAGATGACACCACCCTTAGGGCAGAAAGCAAAGAAGAACTAAAGAGCCTCTTAATGAAAGTGAAAGAGAAGAGTGAAAAAGCTGACTTAAAACTCAACATTCAGAAAACTAAGATCATGGCATCTGATCCCATAATTTCATGGCAAATAAATGGGGAAACAGTGAGAGATACTATATTTTTGGGCTCCAAAACCACTGCAGGTGCTGAGTGCAGCCATGAAATTAAAAGACACTTGCTCCTTGGAAGACAAGTTATGACCAACCTAGAGAGCATATTAAAAAGCAGAGACATTACTTTGCCAACAAAGGTCCATATAGGCAAAGCTTTGGTTCTTTCCAGTAGCCATGTTTGGATGTGAGAGTTGGACTGTAAAGAAAACTGAGCTCCAAAGAATTGATGCTTTTGAACTGTGGTGTTGGAGAAGACTCTTGAGAGTCCCTTGGACTGCAAGAAAATCCACCCAGTCTATCCTAAAGGAAATCAGTCCTGAATATTCATTGGAAGAACAGATGCCAAAGCTGAAACTCCAGAACTTTAGCCACCTGATGCGAAGAACTGACTCACTGGAAAAGACCCTGATGCTGGGAAAGATTGAAGGCAGGAGGAGAAGGGGATGAGATGATTGGATGGCATCACTGATGCAGTGGACTTGAGTTTGAGTAAGCTGCGGGAGTTGGTGATGGACAGGGAATCCTGGCGTGCTGCAGTCCACAGGGTCACAGAGTCAGACACGAATGATCAACTGAACTGAACTGAACTGAAAGCTATTTCACAGAGAAACTCTTACAAGAGTGGATTAGGGTTATCTTTCCACCTGCCCATTTGTAGCCTCCTATCCATTCTTCCTCTTGACCTCCCTGCCACATTCAGATAGATCCCCTTTTCGAGTCCCCATAACTCACTGTGTATTTTCCCATGTAACCATTAGTGCTTTGTGTTGCAATGTCCCTTCCATCTCTCCCTACTAAACTGTGAACTCAAAGTATTTCTATTTTCTGGATGCTCACATGGTAGGCACTTTATAGATGTGTCTTGAACTGTAGCCAACAAAGATTTTTTTAAAAATTTGTTTGTATTTGTTTATGATATACCTGGGATTAAGGAAGTATTATATATATACTGCATATAGGCATCTATGCAGTATTTTTCTCCCCAATAGATAAGAAATACTTCTGGAGTAGAGCCATATAACTAAAAGTAATACAAGCCATTCATGCCCTCTGTATTACTTTTGGTTTTACAGCAGGGGATAGCTCCGGTTTTGACAAGCACTAATTAATTCCAACTCTGGGGAATAATGGGAAATGAAGGCTTATGCTATTTGCACCAAGGTTATCAGTTATATTGGTTTTAATGCTCTCCACTGCTCTAGATATAAAACATGCAGCCAAACGCATAGTTGCTTCCTCATTAGCTGTAAACAGTGTATTTCAGATTTGTCAAGCATAGATATTTATTTCTACATCCAGGCATTTTTATTTATCTTCCTTGCTAGTCTGCGAAGTTTTTGCCAATAAATTAGGAAGGCACTAACTAGTTCTGAAAACTATGGCACCCAGGAAATTTTATTGATCTCATAATTTACTGGATCTTTTGGTTAATTACAAGTTCTGTCTAGCTTGGTGTGCTTTTCAAGTCAGCTGTGCATCGTAAATATGTAACTTCAGTACTCACCCTCCCTACATCTCTGGCAGCCCTGCATGAGGTCAAAGGTGTAATAGCTACACTGCCCAGCCTCTTACATGTTTAATTAAACTATTAATCTACTTTTATCTTGGACACTAGAAACAGGCGGCATTGAGTTTCCAGAGTTCAATGCATTTACTTAGAGTGGATTTTTTCCTAAGCCCCATCTTCAACCATTCAGCACTAGCAACTCTTTTTAAAGGCAATTTAAAAAATTGTGAATGCTGGAAGAATGGCCAGATCAGTTAATCAGAAAGTGCAACATTTACAGTGATTCATGCATGTGCTTCCTGACTAAAGCACTTTATTCAAAACAAAGAAGATTGAAGCTTGCTAACTGTTCAAAAATGACGGTAGATCAGTCAGCAGCAGCCTCCAAAGGGCCAATATTTCCAAAGCGTTAGAACAGGGGTTATCTTTGTTATGTATGTAACCAATGAGAACTCACTGGGGACAAGTGTAATGTCTTGTGGCAGCGATGACATTTTAAGTGGCTGGGCCTGGTTTTGTGTTCATTATCCCAACAGAGTCTTGAAACTCGAGTTTTAGAACCGTGTGTGTCTGCGAGGCTTTAATTAGGTTAACAAGGTTCTCCCCTGTCTATCTCCTCCCTTTCCTGTGAATCAGTTGGTAGTCATCCACTACATATGTTATTCAATTAAGGAAGCAATTTGCTGCTTTTCATTCTGTTTCCTGTGTTCATTCTTGAACTTATAGGTAGAGAATTATGTGAAAATTTCAAGGATCTATTTCCTTTCTTTTAAAGTTCTTCCTACCCTCTTGCTCAATTTGTTGCTGTCCCTTTATTCCATGAGGAATCTGCATCTTGTGTGCCTCCATAAAGGCTGTGAAAATATGACACCATGACCTTCTCTCTAATGTGCCTGGCTTTCATTTGAACAATGATTAAGAGCGATTTGAGTCATGCATTTGAACATTCCACTTGAAAAATCAATTTAGACCGGCAAGGTCCATGTAAATATTGATTATAAACCCACCGTGTTTCTAGCAAGTTAGATTACTATCATAAGTTAAAACCTGTTTTTCTTTCCTACTTGGTTAAAGAGTGTAACCAAAAACCAAATCCATGTGCAGATTGATCATATTTTGCAGATGCCCAGAGGAATAAAATTTAATTCAGATTCTCAACCTGTCTTCCCTCTTGCCCCACCTCCAGTCCAAATAATCAAAACCACAGCTCTTTTACATTTATGGAGCAGTTGAAGCTGTGTATTTCACTTTATTTTATTGTATTCTAACTTTTTGTACTGCATTCGCTATGAAGATTCCATGTATCTTGTTAAATGTGAGCAGCTCGCTCAAAAACACGTCATTTCAACTGACATTTTTTTGGCTTATGTTCAGTTTTTTATAGCCTATGTCTCAGAGCCATAAGTTTATAATCCAAGATGCTACAGACCTTACTTATTCATCGTGATTAGATGTTTCTATCTGCCATTCTACTGCACAGCAAGCTCTAATACTGAAATGCAAAGAAAGTTAGCTTGGCAACCACAGTGACAGAAATAGTGATGAAAATAAGAGAAATGTATTGGTTTCCTCTCCTTCATGAAGGTGCCATCTGGGTGAAACTTGTGAATGACCAGGAACTATTTGCACAGTATAGAGTATCAGTTGATGACTTTGGAACATTTGTACCATCCCAGTGCTTCAGGGTTAAGATTATAAGGTTGAAAAGAACCACTGGCCATACTTATAGGCAAAAGTGAGCCTTACAAATGCATTTTTATGCGATGTACAAGTAGTTGTTAAAGGCTTATGTTTTGCGTTGGAGAACTTTGTTTTTCCTTTTGGACTATTGTCATCATCTGTGGCTAATGTTTAATTTTTGTCCTACACAGGTGAAACCTTGTAGACTCTCTCTCCTACCGTTCTGAGATAAAGCATCTAGGAAATTTAGAGGGCAACACTGATGTCTCTCTGACCCACAGGAATTGATCATGAATGGCAGCACCGCGGGCATGGGGAGTGTCATGCTGAGGGAGTTACCTGTGACTTTGGGGTGTGCCAGCATCATTTACACAGTATCCCCACAGAGGCAGGGCCAGCCAGCACTCCGGGGAAGCCTGTGCCTTTGCCTGCCTGTCCAAGTCAGGGAGTTTGGCTGCTGCTTCCTCCTGGAGTAGGCAGAGTAGAGAGCAGAATAATGGACATTGTGGGCACCCCAGGCTTCCACGGTGCCCTAAGCCCACCATCATGGAAATATCCTTAGGAAAAGGGTCAGAATTAACCATGGGAAGCCTGAGAGATTTTTTTTTTTTCCCTTTAAGTTCATATATATATTGTTAAACGCAAAAAAAAAAAAAAAAAAAAACCTCTCAGGCTCCCCATTGTTAATTTTCCTCTCTATTTTACCTCAGAGGGGTTGGTTGAGTAACTTGCCGCAGAACACACAAGTGCTCAATGGTAGGGCTAGGATTTGAATCCATGACTCTGTAAGCCACAGCCCATACCTGGTTCCCTATAAAACACTCCTCCCTGTGGTGGGAAAGTGCCTTTTATCATTATCGGGTCATCCTTTGTGAACCCAATAAATTGAGAGATAGGAAGTCACCTGGGGCAGCATGGGAATGGAATGGGCATGGTGGCCTCTCGGGAAACTAACAAACCAAAATAAGCCAAGAAACAACCACGGAACAAACTCTAATGGTGGTGTTTGCTGGTTTTCTGTGGTCAAATTCAAGCTTCCGGCGTGAAGTCCCTGAAGGAGAAGCTAACAGGAGACGCACAGACCGCTCTCACCACCTGGCTCCCAGGGGCCCCGGGGAGGACGGGTGACGCCCGGGCGGAGGAAGCGGGCATCCTGCCAGGGCGGGCCAAGCCGGCGACAGGTGAGGACCACGGCTGACGGCTGCCCTGCTCTTTGCCGTGGCTGTCGGTTCCTGTGACAGCTCCCAGGGAACCTCCCCTCCCTGGACTCGATCCAGGCCCTGCCCACGCCCTCCTCCTCTCAGCCTCTGCCGTGACCGCTTCACGCAGCAGACCGTAGCCGGAGGGATGCTGTGCGTTTCTGAGTTCAGCCTGAAGCCAGCCGGTGGCTTCTGCTCCTGCGCTTGCAGAGCCCCGGGCTGTTCCCCGAGAAGCCTGGCTCCCCGGCTCCCGGGGGCCACGTGGGAGGGCCTCACTAGGAAGCAGAGGTCCTGGCAAGAACAGAGGAGGACCCAGGAAGCCACCCGCTGGACACAGCTGGGGCCCCCGGCCTCTGGCCCCCGGTCATCCCGGCTGGGCCCGTCACTTGAGTGAAGCCCATCTTGGGCGTCAGCGCCCTGTTGCTTTCTGAATCCCTAACCCACAGGACTGTGAGCAAATAGGGCCAAGATTGGGGATCATTTACGAAGCAGCCATAGGCAGCTGAAAAAAAATACCCTGCCAGTGTAAGAATCTTACTTACACTTACCTGTGATGGAGGGAAGTCACACCACTAGAGGCACAGGTGGAAACCCCGGGGGTGCCCTCCACCGGCAGAACCACGCAGGGCTCAGAGCCAGCCCCTGTAGTCTGAGCTGACAAGTTCAGAAGGGAACTGTGGTCGGTAGCATTTACATTTCCGTATCTTCTTCTTTCTCTGTGGTGACAGTGTTTCAGTTGATCAACAGGGAAAGCAAAGTACAGATAGCAGAATTCTTGACATTACTGTTCAGGAACCAGAAATAAAATACATCTCCAATCTGTAAGCCCAAGGTTCTTTTAAGTATAATTCTTATTGTGTGTACTGTTTGGTGAGGCTTTTGCTCATGTTTCTTTCTTCTATCATCAACTAAATAAGTCATCGTGAAGAAGAAAGAAAGATATTGCCCTGCAGAATACTTGGCCTGTGTCATGACTTGATGGAATACTGTGAAAGCATAAAATGGAGAGAGAAATAGTTATCCATTGGCTGAACACGGACTTAAACTGTTGTATAATATAACGTTGATGAGCCACTGTGAGATGAAACCCTAAAGTTAACTCTTGTGAATATCTGGAAATAAGCATAACATCCAAATATGAGAAGCCTGCTTTATATTTCAGGTACCAAAAACAGCCCAGTGTTTGGTTTTAATGCTTTCATCAGAAATTTTCTTACCTTCAGCAAAATGTTGATATTTTTGTCATGACATTAATGCAGATAAATACTGGGATTAAAATGACATGGAGATATAATGATTGATGACATAACAACAAAACACATTGATAGTTGTAGAGCAGTAAAAAGTCTGAAAATGAGGCAGACATATTAATTTTCATTAAAGATAAGAAATCATCTTAGGAGGAGACTTTTGGCCTTGGTTAGAAACTTTATTTTGAGTAAAATCCATCACATTATACTCTCCAAGGTGCCACACAAGGGCATTTACGTCTCGCTGCTCAACTTTGTAAGAAAGACAAGTAACAAATTCAGGTTGTTATCTCAGTTCACTATAGTTTCAATGTCATGCTTTAAGATGCTCCTAAAATCATGACATAGCCACTGTCCTCTGCTTACCAAAGGACAGGATGCTATAGCTCTTGGGTTTCCAGTTCAAGGTTTAGCACTCAACCTCAAAATGAGTCTTCTAGCCTCATCCTCTGCTTACATTTGATTCATGGGAGATTCTGTCTAGTTTCTGATATTGTTTTAACGCTCAGAAATATATAGAAATGATTGAAGTATAAAGTGCTGTTCAAAAGCAAAGTGGTCTAATGATGGGTGAAAAACACTGCTACCCAGAAACAATTGTCACAACTCTGCTAGTCCTTTTCAATAGGCAATCCAGACAATGCAGCTTTCATTTGGTGTTTTCTAGTATCCCTACCAATTTGCCCTTCCATAAAAACCAAGCAAAATGGGCATGAAAAAGAAGATCGATGTTTTCAACCCATTTTAGATCAACTGTATCATCTGTATTAGGTGTGACCTGATTTGTTTGAGACTTCACGTGTCTAAGTCAGTGCTCGTTTTCATGTCAGACACAGGGATCCTTTTCAACAGCAGGAGAGAAGCAGGGGTATGGGATGACTAACAGATTGCCAATGTTACATTATTCTCCAGTGATGATAAGGACATTGCCTGTCTTATGGCTGTTTGATGACATTTTTGTTCTCATTTAAAATAATCAGATTTCATCCTGAAGCCTTCTAAGTAAATTTGAATGCTACATGAGGTGTGTAATGGAATAAAAATGGAGCTGCAATGACTCCTGTTCAATTGCCAGCATACTGCTTTTCTATTACTAGAGATGGTGGAGCAAGTGGGGGGACTAAGAGATTAACACATTATTTTGTGCTGGTCTGTGGTCATGTAGTTAGCATATTCAGATTCACCAGATGATAGCTATGGTGGCATTCCTTCTGAGGAGCACTTCCAAAGTCTTTGTAATTTTGGCTCGTAGTCTTTGCAGAATTTCATTATCATGAACTTCAACTCTAATGATAGCACAGTTTCTCAGTCCTGTAGGAATACATGGCTCATAAAGTATAGCTGTGTATGTTACTATCTAAGCACTGAGGTCTTTTGCTGCTGCTGCTGCTGCGAGGTCGCTTCAATTCGTGTCCGACTCTTTGTGACCCCATAGACGGCAGCCCACCAGGCTCCCCTGTCCCTGGGATTCTCCAGGCAAGAACACTGGAGTGGGTTGCCATTTCCTTTTCCAATGCATGACATTGAAAAGTGAAAGTGAAGTCGCTTAGTCGTGTCTGACTTGTAGCGACCCCATGGACTACAGCCCACCAAGCTCCTCCATCCATGGGATTTTCAGGCAAGAGTACTGGAGTGGGGTGCCATTGCCTTCTCCAACTGAGGTCCTTTAGGCATTTCCAAATGAAAGGAGAGTTTGAATTGAGTGCATCAGAGTGGTCCAGGGCAGAAGAACTTCAGTTCCAAAGCCCAATAAAGAGAAGCACAAAAGATGGGATAGACTCTTTCTTCTTGCATTTAAGAATTTAACTGGAAAATTCTTTAGACTAGGTTGAATGAAGTAGGAAGATACAGTGAAATCACACTACGACTCTCAGCTTGGTTTTATGAAACTAGGGTGACTTATGGGCTTCCCTGGTGGCTCAGATGGTAAAGAATCTGCCTGCAATGCAGGAGACCTGGGTTCAATCCCTGGGTTGGGAAGATCCCCTGGAGGAGGGCATGGCAAGCCACTCCAATATTCTTGCCTGGAGAATCCCCATGGACTGAGGTGCCTAGCGGGTATAGTCCACAGGGTCACAAAGAGTTGGACACAGCTGAGAGACTAAGCACGTAAGCGCAGGGTGACTTGCAGGGAATTACTAATTGGTTACTATAGATTGTAGAAATTCCATGGAGATTGCAAGAATAATTAGACTTGCTATAAGGCACTGCTCAATAATATAGTCATCATTACTGGCGTGGTACCAGAATTGTAGCTGTTGTCCAAATTCACAGATTTTTCTTCATTTCTCAAGAGGAAACATTCAAGCTTACTAAAGTTCCATATATTATATAGCATTTGAAACCAGTGAGAGAATTCTTTTCAACGCCACATGAGGTTCTGTTGGACATATAGGTGGAGTCTTAACCAGACAGCAAGTTTAAAGTTTTCTTATCATATTTGACTATCAAAAGCATGACCCCCTCTTATGACTCTTCAATTTCTGTTAAGAAATCTATGGTTAATGGCTTTTTGTTTCTCTTATCAAGATGGACTTTAAAAAGAGATCATTTTCTGAAAATAAACACATTTTTGGTAAAAATGAGTTTAACTTGGCAAGCTCTATCTTTGTCCTGTGTTCTGGAAATAATTCATATCAGTCATCTTTTAGCAACTGTAAGTCAGGTCTTCCTTGCCATGAACTCATGCCCTGGTAGCAATCCATTATATATTTCCTGCTAAAAACAACCCCAGGAGATAGTAATTAACCTCCTCTTGAGTGTAATAATAGAATCAGAGATTGATGAACAATTTTCTTCAAATATCTTAAGTAATGGAATAAAACTGAAAGGCCATGCATTGCTTCTCTTAGAAAAACAGTACAGAATATGTTAGAATATCATGAATAAATGAACACTTTCATTTATGAGTTTTATATAGAAGTCATTGAGTTTCCCTGCTCGAGGTACTGCCTGCATGGCAGTTAATCTTCTTGTGGCACTTGCTGTATAATGCAACACCTCTCTGGGCAATCTTTTGTATTAAAATATAGTGTTTAAGCTCTTTTCCTTTGCAAAGCAAGAATGGATTGTTCAGTATGTTTTTTTTTCTTTTAATGACCTGCTGAAAATTATTTCGGAAATAACCAACATGGTAATTTCCATATAATATGTTTTTATAGCTCATTGGGAAATATAAAATATTTTCCAACCAGGTTAAAATTATTGGAAAATGTAAAGAATCCTACATTAGTAACCGGAAGACTCCTGTCTCAGCATTGCTACCATCTGTATGCCCCTGAGCAAGTCATTTCCTCTCCTCCACTGTTATTATTTTAATCATTAAAGTGAAAACATTAATTCAGGGACTTCCAGTCACTTCAATTTAAACTATCCTCCTCTCTGTTTAGATTTCCTTCCTGCATTGTATTTCCATTCACCCTACCCCTCCTGTTGTACCTCTTATTTTAAGCTCCAAAGAAGTATGACCCATCCCAGGCTGGCTTGAGATTTCTTCCTGTGTAAGAGCGCTGTCACTCATCCTCACTGCAGTCATTTGCCATCTCTTACTCTGTGAAGGAGATTGAATGGCACGGACCAGCTGCATCTGAAGAAAAGCTTAGACCCCATTACAGTCAATGGATGGGCAAGACATAGGCAAAATCAGAGAGTGCAAAATTACATTTCTGAAGAAAATTCCCCAGAGGCCCTTTCAAATGGTGAGGGAGATACTTTGATTAGAGGAAAGCGACTGCCAAACTGACGGGGGCACACTAGGGTGGCTAGCACAATCTTCTGTGAAAGTTGTTTACTGCAAAACCACCACCACGCGCATCTCAGGGGTGAGTCATTTAAAATGGACATTCATTCTGAGCTTATCCATAGCTGAATTACTAAAATACCAACCCAGAAGGTTTAACAGTCTAATTAGGGCTTTTAAGGATTTTTCAAAATGAAGCATTATCAAGAGGAGATTTCTCTGTGAGCTTTAGGTAGTGTCTGTGGACTGCAAGTTTTCCTTTGTATATTACAAATGAGAATAACACTCTACCAGGAGACATGGGCATGCTGTTGAAAACAACATATAACTTTTTTAATTAATTAATTTATTTTAATTGGAGGATAATTACTTTACAATATTGTGTGTGTGTTTTTTCGTACATGTGTCCCCATATCCTGAACCCCCCTCCCACCTCCC